TTTTTATCTGACTCCCAATTTCCTGTTTTAGTCTTTTGGATATCTGTGACTGAATGGATACTGGCAAAAAACTTGCCTGAGGTCTCTGGAGTGTGTAAGACTCAGTAGATGCTGAGAGGATATAAGATAGAAGATACACTTGCAGTTATAAAGGACAGTGTTGAATGCTGGGCGTCCCCAAAACATATCACATTTCTGGTTCTGCTTCTGCTTTGATGCTGTCCTTGGGAGTGCGGTCGAAAGGTTCACTTGGTCCCATCACAGCAACACAATATTCATCTCACCTTATGGTATATATTTTGATTACTATGAAGTATGACCCAAGTACTTGTGTTATTCACAAAGGCTTTGGGTACTAAATGGAAACAATGTTTATGTATTTTAATGTCCAGTTCTACCATAAGCATCTTCACTTTCTTTTGTTCCTGTATCACTTTCCAAATTTGTTAGGTTTTCTGATAGTTTAGTTGGTCATATGTATATATAATTAAGCTTTGAAGTCTAATTCTTCCTCTATATTATTTTATTAGTAAATAGCAGGTCCATGGAGGAGGGTAAATGATCCCATCCATAGCACACTCCTGTGAACTTGGTGTTAAAGATGAGTAATCTAATTTATAGGGTTTCAGTACCTTGAGGACATGTCCTCAGTGGAAAGGTGATTAAGCTGATATCCAGACAGATTTCTTTATCTGCAAAATCTCACTTCTCTTTCTGCATAGTACTGTCTCCCTGTGTTGCAGACCAGATGTGCTTCAGCGTGTTTGTCTAGGCCATGAGCTACCTTTGCCTTTCTAAGAAACACCTTTGTTATATAGACACTGGCCAGTGGCAGCTCTGTGTTTTTATACTACTCCTTATCTATGGTGATTGGAGAAAAAAAAAGTTGATCAATCCACCCCTCCACCACCACCACCAGCACTGGGCCTGGATTGCTTTGTGTCTTAAGAGTATTTCATCTGTGAAGAGTTGACATTGACAGGTGGAAACTGTCACATGATCGGTACAGTGACAGCAGAAATCTAAATAACATTTGCCACACTTACTTTGGTTTCCATGTGTTTTATACCTGGTTGTAATTCTAAAGTAGAATCTACCATTCTGTGAGCTAATTTGTAATGATTTCTTTTGCCATCAGCTTGGTACTTAAGTCTCCTTTGCTATAGTGTTGCCTTCCAGGCATTCTGCAGTTTTTACCTGTGCAGTATAAAAGTTCATATCCAGAATATATAAATAACTTCTCTAAGTCAGTAAGGAAGAGGTGTAACTGTAGGATATGGGCAAAAGTCGTGTTCGGGATAATGGCAAGATGCCTGTACTCACTTTGTAAAAAATATACTTGAACTTATAGTTTGTGTATATTGCTTTCTGTGTTATGTGAAAAGACTAAACAAATCCATCATTCCCTCTTGTATCAACTAAAATATTATAAAACGGTGTGAAAATATATGACCCACTTTACTTTTAAAAGGTGTCATAAAATTAGTAAGTCTACTTTGGTAAAACTTGGATCTTCATATACTAAACACTGACGAAAATTAATTTAGGAGAGACATAGATCTCTATTTCATGTTCTACTGCTTCTTTAATTAACTTTTCAGTTGGCTTCAAAGGTAATGGGCTTTATTATGGCACCTTGTCCATATACAACATCGTGGTTTGTTTTCATTTGCACGCTGCTCTCCTCCCCATCCTCCTCCCACTCTTGCTGTTCCTCATCTTCATCCCAAGAAGTCCTTGTGCTTTCATCACATTCCATTGCCTCTCCCACTCCCCCATCCCTCCATGTCCAACTACTGACATTGTGATGTGATGTGATGCCATCTACAGAGATCATCCTCGTGAACTTCATAATTGAGATATAGAAAAAGGTCAAAAAGTATCTTACAATGTTCTAAGAAAGTTTTCAAGTTTATGCTGGGCTGTCTTCATAGCTGTTCTTGGTTGTATTTGGCTGATGGCCTGTGGGTTAGATATGCCTGCAAGTTTAGATCTCTTCTATCCTTTCATCATCTGCAGTCTACATTCATGTCCTGAATATGTGGATATATGTGAGTGTGAGTCCATGTGTGTGCATAAATTTAAATATAGATGCCACATATGATGGAAAACTTGACACTTCCCTTTCTGAGTGGCTTATTTCACTTAGCATAACGAGTTACTATGCAATTCAGAACTGTGGTAGAGAGTCTCCTTCTGTAGTGACTGTCCGATGATTCACAGACTGGTATTCAAGCATTTTTAGTATCTTTAGGGGGTGGGTGGGAACTATGACTTGCAAGAGAACATGGCAAAGGTTATTCAAGGTCCCTTGATCATGTCACATGTCATAATTATGCTTCAGTCTTAAAAATTCACACTGAATTTTCTCTTTTGTTCGCTTTGGTCTTATTTTCCTTTAAAAATTAGTATAAAGTAATTGTGTGAAATAATGATCTTCCTGGTGACATTTCATACATGTGTGTGACATGCTTTGGTCATGCTCACCCTCTCGTTACCCTTTTTTCTCTCCCTGCTCTCCTTCCTGCCTCCTAACAGCTCCCCTTTACTGTCATGTCATTTGTTTTCTAGATCGCATATCTGCAAAAAAAGCATGTGATAGCTGTGGTTCTGAGTTGGGCCTTGCTGATCTGGAGACATGAATGACTATGTTGGAAGGCTGCCATGATGGGAATGGGGCAGCCTCTAAGAGCTGAGGATGTATTCAGCCAATCCTGCATCAAGAATGCCACCCAAAGTTCTCAATAGTGATACAATAGTTACTCCTGATGTGCTGGCATAAATATCGAGGAATTCATAGCCCTTAGGTCAGGAGAAGAACCTGAACTTTATTATCTTTCAGCCCTGAATATGAGCAAGCCACAGCTTCCATACTGTGGTCCTGAAGACAAAATTTCTTTCCTATAACCGCACCTTTGTCTACTGCATACAAATCATGAGGACATTAAACAGAGCCCTGAGGAGGAATATTCCAGGGTATTTCTGGGGCTGATGAACCCTTAGTTTTAGACAGCTGGGCACATTCACCTTACACTCTACCCTTATATGGAAGCGCACTATCCTTTCCCATGCAGAGACCCTCAGATTTGATCTTTAATAAATTTCCATTCCCTTTCCTATTTGAGGTTTGTTTGAGGTAATTATTCTGATGTTTTATGAGTATTAAAATTCATGTTTATTATATTTTTTTCCTGTTGTGTTTACCATCTCCATAAGCATCACTGTGCTGAATTGCTCACAATTTCCTTCATGAACCTGCTTGAGACTTCGTATTCCACAGAACATGTCTATAACTTGGATATTACTGAATTCTATGAAGAATGTTCATTGAATCACCCTTGAGCAGGCAAAGGGTGAGGAGGTCATCACCCATAGCCCATCAATGCCACCATTATCTGTATTTCTAATTCTTTTTCTAATACGTTTAACATGATCTCAATTTTTATTGAAATTTGCTACTTTCAGACAATATAATTTGATGGTATTTAGATCTCTTCCCCATCCACACCTCTGCTTACCACCCCTCAATCATTTTAATGTATTCTATTGTATGCATAATATGACCTACAGAGTCTAATTTGTGTCTCCAAATGCCCTTCAGTGGGTCCATCAACTGGAACCTGGTTAACCCATCAAGATTCTCATCCTTATAAGAGACTGACTTTCTCCCTTCCAGCGGCCATCAGTTGCCAAAAGTTCCCTAGGTTGGGTTAGCGTTTCTTACCCACTTCCCCAGGACTATGCTGGGAGTATGTCTCGTTTGAGTTTGCATGGGATTTTTGTATGATGCCAGCATTGATGTGAGTTCATATGAGTAACTGACCCATTATCTGGAGAACACTGTTTCCTTGTGCTCATCCACTGTATCTGGCTCTTACAATCTCTCTGCCCCCTCTTCCACAATAATCCCTGAACCCTGGGAGGCAGAAGTTTGATATAGATGTCCTATTCAGGGATAAGGATGCTGCAGTCTCTTATTCTCTGCACATTGACCAATTATGGATTTCTGTGATAATCACCATCTACTGCATAAGGAAAATTCTCTGGTGAAAGTTAAAGATATACATTAATCCATAGATCATAAGTCATTAGGACTCAGTTTAATACTATAATTAGAAAGGAGTGATTTGAAGGGGGAAATGGGAACATTAAAGTAGGAAGGATAAAATGGGGTGGGGATTTGGAGGGCAGGGCAGAGGAGGGAGTATGGGGAGGGATAAGTAACCCTGAAGGCCTTCAGAAGAAGCCATATGGAAACCCACTATTACAGAAATCTACCAAAGTGAATACATATATTATCAAAAGACATTAAACGGAGTTATAACAGGAAGACATTGCCCCCTCTAGACATCATAGGCTAACAAAATAAAACCTCACTGCCAGGAATAGAGTCCCCTCTAGAAACTGTTGACTGGGGGTCTTGTAGACCTTCAAGCAATACTGGCCATTGTCCCTGCTCTTCATGACCTACTGGAACTTGATGATAAGACCCGATTGCTGAAAATACTACATACATGCGCTGTAGAGCAAACAAGAAGAAATCGAACTGGTGCTGACTTCAGAGCCTCATTGCTCTGGCTAGCTGTCATAGTACTGGAAAGTGCTATGCATGCTACCGGAAGGACAAAACAATCATCAATTCTACACAGCTGTGAATTCTGTGAATTGCCATAACAAGTGTCCTGGCAAGATATGCCCATCAGTCCAACAGCTGCATGTATATTTTGCGTATTATGAGAGTGACCAACCACTCTCTAACTGGACTTAAGGTCTACTTCATAGGATTGAGTCCATACCTGACACTGATATCAGACTTAGGAACCTGATATTAGACAGGTCATAGAGCGTAAGGGAGAGTCTAACACCAGATCTGTTTAAATATGCACAAGTCTAACAGCAAATAACTCTATATTCTCCTTTGGTTGAGGATTTCCCTCTACCTCTTCATATATTTTGCTCATTTTACCATTAAACTTTTTTTTTTTCTGGTTGATTTACAGGAGTCCTTTGTATGGTCCAGCTATTGTGAAAAGAACAGTAACAAACATGATTGTACAAGTATCTCTGGAGTAGGATGAGTCCTTTGGATATATGCCAAGGAGTGGAATGGTAGGTTCATTTTTCATTTTTTAAGAGTTCTCCACACTGCTTTCCATAGTGGTTGCAAGAGTTTGTAATCCCACCAGAATTTAGTATCATTTTCTCTCTTGATCTTAGCCATATATTCTCCAGGCTTCCATAGAAAAATGAGAAACATTAAGAACTATCTTAGGAACAACATCATTTTTTTTTTGAGACAGGGTCTCCCTGAAACCCTGGCTTGCTTGGAACTTGCTATGTAGACCAGGCTGACCTCAAACTCACAAAGATCCACCTGTCTCAGCCTCCCAAGTACAGGGATTAAAGGCATGCGCCACCACACCCAGCTCTATAACATCATATTCTTAAAGTTGTACAACTACCAGTCTTTCCACAATGGTACTCTTCAAATTTAATTCTGAAGGGTGATATAATTACATTGATCATACTAGATACTGATCTGAGAATGACCCTGTGTCTGCTTCTGGGTCAATGCTCTATCTAGTATTTCCACTAACCGTAGTCCCAAGAACAAGGCTGACAACTTTATAGAAGTCTATGATTTCCTGGGAATTTAGAGAGTGAAATTAATTTGACTGCTGTTCACACAGGTAATGTAGGGAGGAGGGTACTAAAATTCAAGCCTGGGTCAACCTGAGACTGGTGTCCAGTGACTACACTTACAGAATTCTGACCTTGTGAGGCTACAGCAGATAGTGGAACATTTATTTCAGGACTATTGTTCAGGTCAATCCTAATTAATTAAAACAAACTAGTACTTGAACCTACAAAGATAAATTTAAAGCAAGACTAAAAGGGGCCGACCAAGATCATGTGGGTTAGGCACAAGATGCTACTTTCTTTGATTGGTGGAATAATTTAATCCTTACTTAAAAATCATCCTGGAGGGAGGGGAAAGATGACTGTCCACTTAAGAGTGGGGGGTTTGATACCCAACTTTGAACTCTGCAGGTACCTGCACTCACATGCACAAACCCCCTTCACACACATATACATAATCAAAAATAAAAGTAAATCTTTAAAAATATTACCCTGGGGTCTTCTGAAATACTTCTTTTCAATTCACTTTTCTCATTTGCACCAAAACAGAAGAAACTTCCAATTGTTGAGAGAAGTCATGGGCCTTTCTGTGTGTTGGTGACTTTTATGTCCAATATTTGGGAGTCAAAATTAATCAAGGAGCTTTCTGGAAAGAGAAGCTATTTTATTATTTTGAAAATAATTTTTGTATTATTTTTATTTTATGTGTATGAGTATATTGCCTGCATATGAATAAGTGCTCCCATGCCATGCAATGACTGCAGACATCAGAAGAGGGCGTGGGGTTCCCCTGGAACTGAAGTTATTCATGTTTGTTAGCCACCATTGGGTGCTGAGAATCAAACCTGGGTCCTCTACAAGGGCAGCCAGTGCTCTTAACCGCTGAGCCATCTCTCCAGCCCGAAAAGCTATACTTAAATTTACCTTTTCAGAAGGATCAAAATTTAAGAAGCAAGGCCTTTAATCATGTATTTCTTAGTAACTCAAACTATATAAGAAAATCTTCACAGAATAGAATGAGTAGTGCTTTAAATAATAAATAACAATCATTTGGAATCATAAAATGTCTGTTTAGATCATAGATTGTTGCAGAGAAACCTTGAATGTTTTTTAAAAAATGTTATTTGTTGTTATTTTGGTGTGTGTGTGTGTGTGTGTGTGTGTGTATGTGTGTGTGTGTATGTATACATAAGTGTGAAAGTCAGAGGACAACTTTCTCATCAGTTTTCTTCTTCCAGTATGGGTTCAAGGAATGAAACTCAGGTCAACAGGTTTCTGCCTGTATGCATTTAGACATCTTGCCATCCTGAAACCTTGACTACTTAAAAAATATATATATATTTTGTTTGTGTGTCTGTTTTGTGTGCATGTGTGTAAGTGCACCCATGTCATGCAATGACCGTGGAGGCCGGAAGAGACTAGATACCCTCAGACCGGAGTTATGGGCAGTTGCTAGCCACCATGTGGGAGCTGGGAACTGAACCCAGGTCCTCTGCAAGAGGAGCAGGTGCTCTTAATCACTGAGACATCTCTCCAGACCCAGTCTTGAATACCTTTAAGAGATACACTCCAGTGTATTGTCTTTGTTTCCATGGTGCCTCTAATTCTTGGATAAAGAAAATGTTACAATTTTCACTTTGGGTTGTACATTTTGGATACTGGAATAAATGAATATTTAACTAAATTTAATGTGTAGAAGAAAATATATATGACTTTGGTCTATGTTTAAATCCTAACAAAGTTTCTAAACTGCTATATGACATTAGGTATAGGAAAGCCTCTCTGAGCCTCAGTTTTTCCCTTTGTAAAACAATAAAGTTCTTTTTGTGATATTTATATATGAAGCAGCTTCGATAAAACAACAGCCAAATTTACCAACAAGATTTGAAAAAGAAAACTTTAAAGTCTTAACAACTGGAAGACTGCAAAAAAAAATTAATAGAAAATCACTTTTGTGGCCATGTTCAAGGTCAACAGTTCTTTGTTACTAAATTCATAACTTTGTCTGGTACTGAGGATTGACTCTAGGGGAAATTTTCAAGTTAGCCAAATGCTCTACCATTGAGCTATATCTTCACACCGCCCCCTCAATTTTATTTTTTTTAACTTCTATTGATCCTATAGTTGCCATTCAATACATAGCATGTCCTAGGAAATGCTTTACATATTCAGAACAAAGTATTTGCAAAATATGTATACTGTTATTATTGATTATTTTATAGATCTTGTCATTTCATGATTATCTTCTAAGTAAAGAATCATAATTCAAAAAGACATTATTTACACGTGATAAAATTTGAATAGTAATGATGCCTTATGAATTGAATATTTATCAATAGCAAAACTACCTACATATGACTTTGGGGTCAGTATTGGTAATTGTCACAACTTTTATATGCACGACCATTTATAAGTCACACAAAATGGTTTCTCCATATTTGAAATGCTTCATTTTCCAGTGCTTACAATTCTACTCGGTAGAATGGTTTCAGTTAGGAAAAGCAGAATCTATCAGAAGCACACAATTTTTCTGCATTACAGAGCTGTCTTAAAGTTTCTCTTTGGAGGCCCTTGGGATTCAGCCCCCACTCATCCCCAGATAAGTCACAGAATCACTCTGGGATCAGTCTCTTCCATCTGGTCATGTTGATGCTATGACCTAGAAGGGTTTCATCAGGCCTAAAATAGCCCATGATGACACATGACAGGATGTTCTCAAAGAGTTAATCTTTCTATTTAACCTCTGACTTCAATATTACAATTACAAATGGCAATTCCTTAACCAGTACCCTGGCTACATTAGTGTTTATTTCATAATTATTGCATAAAAATCTAGAAGTCTGTATTTGAATTTTATGTATTTTCTGTGTGTCTCTTTGTAAGCAAAAAGTTATAAAAGCATGCTATAATTGAATCAATAAATCAATCAATGTTTATTTAAGTAAATTTCCTTATAATAACATATATTTTATATGATTATTTTTTAAGTGTTTAACAGTCAAAACTAGGACCCTGAGAATGTAAGAATTCAATTATGTTTTTCTCCCCATGTGAGATAGTAGACACTGCAAATAATTGTTTTTAATAACTGTGTTTTTCTTTTGACACCTTTTGTTGTTAGTGCCATTTTCTCTAAATTTGATTGCAAAACATTGCTTTGCTAGAAACTAAGAACTAATCAGAGAGATTTCCAGTGAGTTTCATTATCTTTAGAATTATTCTGTTTACTATTGTTCAAAGGGAAGAACCTTTCTGCTAATCTGACTTCTCTGCTATTGATCACTTAGTTTTTGAAGGGTGTTCGTTTTCTACTTACACAGAGAAGTCCTCTGTGTTTGAAACGGGAAGACCAAAATTTTCTTCACCACTTTTAATTAGGGAGCAGCTTAGACCACGTCCAAACTGTGATCTTTAGTTGATCTGTTCCACTTGGCTGTAGTTATAAATCTCTTTGGAGTGCCACAGAAGAATAAAACAAATCCTTATTACCTAATAGTAATCCCTCTTACACCCCAGTCACCCAGAGCTTCTGGACTTTGACCACCTGGCCAGCTTTAGTCAAGAAGTGAGTTTTTCATCGTACTTACTAAGAAACGGGGAGACCATGGGACAGTGTCCTTATAAGCGGTTTTGTTTTACAAACAGGACAGAGTACGGTTGTTTGAGAAATCACATGTATAATATTTGAATTTTTCATAGCCTTTGCTAAGACCAATGGATTATCAGATTTTTCTGTGCTCTCCCTTCCTTTTCCAGTCCCCATCCACCTCCCGACTCCTTCTGACTTTTGTTTGCAGTCAACATTAAGCTCATTGATTGCGAGGGTGGCACTGAAGTGACCTAATGATGGGTCAGTCTTAATGAGAAAAGCGGCTGCCTGTGATGTGGCCTGGCTCAGGGCACCCCCCACCGTGTGCCTGTATGTCAGACTTAGTCTCCTTTAAGAGACTAAAGCGTGGAAAATCAACAGAAAACCAGCCGGTGCCTCCCCACAGAATGGACCATGTGCATGGCTATTTAGCCCTGCAAAAGAGAGCTCATTTGCACATAAGGAGTCCTTCAGAAAAGAATGGGGCCTTGGCAAATTTATAGACTCCCCTGAAAGAAAGTGATTACAGATCATTATCCAATTGAGGCAGATTGATGGGCTGGGGTCAAAGTAATATTGCAGATCTCACCAAGGGGACAATGGCGGCTTGTCACAGGGAAAGAAAGGAAAGGGAAACTGCCACACAGAGAGGCAAGGCTTAGCTTTACAGACTATGCTGAAAGGGCTTGGGTGTGTATGCTGTTACTTTCCCGAGCATCATGTTTTATTTTATGTCACAAAGAATGTGCCGTCGAGATCAAATTGGGCATTCAAAATATAACCCAAGTAAGAAGCACGCAAATGTATCTGTGGTTCGCCCCTCCTTACTTTTTAATGCTAATAAGAAATAAGGCAACATAGATGGTTCAACTAAAATTTC